CCTGTGCCCGGAGGGCTTCACCGGGGCGTACTGCCAGGCGGAGGTGAGGGGGACGACGCCGCCCCCGGCCCCGCAGGCCCCGCCGCCAGGCCGGCGGATCAGCATCGCGCAGGTCAGCAGCACCTCCCTCAAAGTGGACTTGCAGAACTACGTCCAGTCCAAAGCGCAGCTGAAGGGCATCCGCTTGAGCTACCGAAATCTCTCCGGGCCGGACAAGCGGCCGGTGATGCTGCGTTTGCCGGCTTCGCTCTCTGAGTACACGGTGCGGGCGCTGAAGCCGAACTGCACTTACCGCGTCTGCATCGGGCCCCTGGGGGAGAAGGTCTCCAAGGAGGAGCACTGCGCCGAGGCGCAGACCTTGCCGGTGAGCAGCCACCAGCAGCACTCGCCCGTCACCCAGAACAAGGACAGCAACCTGACCCTGATGATCGTCCCCGCGCTGGCCGCCGTGCTGCTGCTGGTGGTGGTGGTGACCGCTGGCACCTACTACCGTCGGCACCGCCGGGCAAAGGCACATGCCGGCGCCGGGGTGGACGCCAGCCCGCTGGAGCTGGAAGGGGTGAAAGCCTGCCTGGAAAACGGGGACTTGAGCAGCCACGGCCGCAAGGTGCCGGAGGCGGCGATGCTTTCCGGTGGCTCCGAGTGCGAGGTCCCGCTCATGCAGTCGCACTACCCCAGCAACAACAACACCCCGGGGCTCAAACCCTCCTATTTCTGAGCCAGGTGGGACGGGGCTGCTGGGCAAGGGGAGCCCCGGGCAGAGGAGGGTTGAGCTCCAGCGGCGGCACCCGGCCCTGTCCCTCTGGGGCGAGAAACGGCGAGGAGTTAACCGAATTAAGGCAGAAAAACCCCAAACGTGCAATTTCCGAGAGGCTGCTGCCACGCTTCGGGAGGAGACACTAATTTTACCACTCAGTGCCTTGATTTCCGTGACTCTACGTAGAACGTGGGTAGCGAACGAGCGGGCTTTTTAATTTGGGGTTTGGGGGGGGCTTTTTTTAGCTACTGCTAAAAAGCAAGCTGCCGGTGACTCGGCTAAGGGACGTCCACGTGCTGGTAACAGGGGTCCTTTAGCAGAGCACGGCCCGTGACTCTCAACTCCCTGGAAGCTGATGTGAGCAATAAGGCCCGGCCGAGGTGCTGGGACCCTCGGGACCCCCCCGGGCCAAAGGAAGCGCCGAGCAGGCAAACCGGGAATTGAAGCTTTAAGAACTCTGAGAGAATATTTATACACGGTTATTTCCCATTTCTTCTGGGAAAACTCTTTTTTTTTTTTTTTTTTTAACTCAGGATTGTATCAATCTCTATTGTACA